TTCAGCTACCTTCTTGGCCCTGCTGAGATCTGGTGAAAGTTAGGCAAAACCTTGCTCCACTGTTGACACCAAGTGTGACTTGTTGCTAACACCAATGGTGGGGAGAGTAAACAGTTGACTCATACTATAAGGAGAATACTAATTAGCTACACTTTGTTCAGTTTTGTTGAAGTAGATGGAGATAGAGGTTTACTTCCCTGCTACGCCTCACTAACATGGGAAAGAGGTGAGATAGTAGTAATTAGCTCTACCTTGTATTGCCTTGTTTTATCTCATTACTGGTAAGTGAGGATGTAGGCTAACCTTATCACTAGACCCTACTGACACTACCCTGCTGGGGGAATCAGAGCACAGCTTGTTTATGCTGGGCTGGTCATAGAGGATCAGCCTCTGCTTAGCCCCACCTACAATATCCTGTCCAGGAAATCAGAGTAACACCTGTTCTGCCAAGTGAACAATGAAAGAATAGTTCTCTGCTCAGCCCTGCTGACATTACCTGGTGAAGGATTCAAAACTCTGCCACTTGGTTCTATGAAATGGCAGGGGTGAGGTAGAGTATCAGCTCCCAGCTTAGCTCCACTGACTGTGAGTGAACTGAGTATTTTTTCTATTGGTATTTAGCTGAAATTGGGTGAATATTATCAAAAAGCCTTTCTAGTCTCTTAGGTTACCCCTGTCCTGGTCCTTCGGCTAGACAAAGAAACTTTTGTTGTAGTATTTTTGTGTGTGCTTGTCGGTGGTTCTCGATTAAAGGCTTCTTCAGCACCTTGTCTAGAATATACAGGGGATAATAAGGGAACTGAGGTGAGTCACTGCGATGTTACTCCTCAAGTCTTGAGGTTCTTACAGTGTCTGCCTTCTTTCTACCTTTCACAGTCTATCTATGTTTATTTTGTGATGTCAAGGAATTTTCAGTTATAAAGGAAGGATCTGGAAGAAATCTTGGCTGAAACTGTAAGTCTCCTTAACTGGAATACTTTTGAAATCTGACAAAGTGATTGTAATATTATCTGGAGCAATTAATATATGAGAAAACAAAACAAAACAACATGGGACCTTTCTTACTACGCCAAAATATCATTTAACCAAAACAGCACAGCTGAAAGACATAGATCAATAAAACAAAAGTTCAGGAAGAAGCCAGACTTATGTATGTGTATGCACATCCCTAGGCAAAAAAAAATTTAGAATATGATAAAGTAGGCACTTCAATCCAGTGCAGAAAAAATAACTTTTCATTAAATTAAGCTGGGAAAAAAGATATATTTGAAAAATATTACATCAGCTTAGTCATTTTATGTATATATATATACATATATATATATAAATAAAAATAAATGTATACCAGTAACATTACAGATAGATTAAATAATAAATATTTAAGTATATCTATTTAAAATAAATATATTCAATGTGGTAGTGTCCATTGGCATAACTATTTTAGAAAAGTTTGATTTCATCCAGGAAAGTTGAAAATACATGTTCTTGGAAACCCAGGAATTCCATTCCTCAGTATATACCTCAGAGAAACTTTTACATATGAGTATCAGTATACTTTTATAAAACTATTTATTGCATCATTTTTTATAATCACCCAAATGGAAACAGGTTAAATGACCATCAACGGTATACTGTCTCAGTAATCTCTGGTACAATGGAGTATTTTACAATTAAACAAAAACAAAAACTTTAGTTACAGGCAATAACATGAATAAATTCTTCACAAAGTGATGATCAAAAAAGCAAGGCACAAAAACTGCATACAATATGCTTCAATTCATGTGAAGTTCAAAGAGAGCATAAGTCCAAAGGGACATGCACATATGTGGCAAAACTGAGCAAAAACAAGGAACGGATAATGAAAAAAACTCAGAATATTGGTTAAATCTATGGTAAAAAGGGAACTGTGATTGGGACAAGAATGTATTCACTCTTTGTCCCTTGGCCTTTGGTCAATCATTCACTCACTATTTTGAGGTGATTTATTATAATCAATGATATAGGTTTAATTCAAACTATGTATGAACTAAATAATGATTTCTGATGTTAGAAACATTGTGAAAGATTCCCACACTTGAAAAAAATGAAATTATGTTTAACCAATCATATTATTTAAATTGTAAAGATGCATATGCTTTATACATGGCATATTAGATCATTTAAGATAACTCAGATATCTCCCAACTAAAATGAACATTACACCCTGATGTTTCACATTTCCTCCAGCCAAAATAATTATATCCGATTTCACATGAAAATATTAATGGTGCCATCAAATGTTGGTAAAATGCTTTATACCAATTTTTCTTTTGATACCTTTCAAAACAAGATCAATTCTACATTTTCGTGCCTCAGGTCCCAAACTCTCTGAAGTTGTTTTAGATATAATACCAGTAACTGATTTAAAAAAATAAAATCATATGTTACATATCATCCATGAATATTGTTTCTTTTTTTTTTTCAAGGAATCTCTTGAGGGATAATTTTTATAACTCTAGAATTAAAAACAAAAAACAAAAACAAACAAAACAACAGGCCAGGAGCAGTGGCTTGTACCTGTAAACCCAACACTTTGGGAGGCCAAGGCAGGAGGAGCATTTGAACCTAAGAGTTCAAAGCCATCCTAGGCAACATAATGAGACCTCAACTCTACAAAAAATAATTTAAGAAATTAGTCAGGTGTGATGGCACGCACCTGTGGTTCCAGCTACTTGGGAGGCTGAGGCAGGAGGATTACCTGAGCCTAGGAAGTCGAAGCTGCGAAGAGTCATGTCACTGCACTCCAGCCTGAGCAACAGAGTGAGACCCTGCCTCAAACACACACACACACACACACACACACACACACACACACACTCTCTCTCTCTCTGAAAAAATTAATCCTTTAGAAAAAAGCTACCATTTAAAAACAGGCAACATTCCTGCTATTTAATTAAAGTAACTAAAGAATATATTAATCCTCTGGTTACAGAGTAGGCCTTTTCCGGGGCTACATCTTCAGTCCAATTTTAATACCTCATATAGTTTTTCCAATAAATTCTATTCACTGGCATGGCCTCAATTAACTCTTGTATAATGAGAAATTCTAATATCAATTACTAGATTATACTTCTCTTCTGAGTTCCAGGCTGATTTATCCAATGACTTACTGAATATTTGGTTATCTGAGAGGAAATTCAAATTCAGTAAGTCCAAAACATCCTCTTTCCTCTCAAAATATTTGTTTTCTAATATATCATTTTAAGTTACAGCAACCCCATCTACTCAGTCTCCCAAGCTAGGAACCTGAGTCAATCTTTCCATTTTCCCCTAAACATCCCATAAATTATCAAATATTGTTGATTCTACTCTAAAAAATATTTTTTGAATCTTATTTTTCTTCTCTAGCCTCACTGCCATTTCTTTAGCTCAGGTTTTAACTGTTTTGAATCTATCTTCTTGCACTCTTATTTCTTTATACTGAAAAAATTTTTTTCACCATAAAAAAGCTAAAAAAACTACCAAATGATTGCTTCTTTCTTAGAATCATATGACACTTCATAGTCAGTTTAAAATCCAAACTTCTTAACATGGCATAAAGACCCACCTCCAGCTCTATATCTCACAAATCTTTATTTTATACCCTACGATCTAGGTTCTAGTATCTCATATTTATGCTTTGCCTCTGTAAAACCTTCAATTTGCTGAGTTACCTCTTGGAAAGACTTTGCTAATTAACTTTATGAAATGGCCAGATGTCCTCCTTCTGTATTTCCATAAGACTCTTTGTTTATCATTTAACACATATTTTAATTGTATTATAAGATAGAGCACCATTAAGATAGACAGATTTCTATTCAATATCCTTTGTATTAATGTTACCTAATTATTTATATATATTTACTGATTGCTTAAAGTTTCTAGCGTTTCCAACTTTTGTTGAGTCTTTGTAAAATGTATTTCAAGAGTAATATATCCATATTTTTCTAACCTTTAGCAACACTTGATTATATTTTTGGAAATAATTACTAAACTTCAAAAAAAATCTTCACTCATTTCTATTTCCTCAGCTGAAAAATGAGGGATCTGGATTAGACCTAAGGTTCCTCCCAGCTAAAACATTTAATTAATTTACATCAAGTTGGAATAAGTTTCTTGAAAATTTTTGATGTTAGTATATATAATTATGGTATTAATTTCTGATGTTGACACACATTGAAGATCTGACATACTGAAGCTAATAGTATATTACATAATAGGAATCAAAGGGCTTAAATGATTTAAAAATAATGTAAACAAGTTAAAGGATTATTTACTAAGATTTGAATGTACTGAACTTAATATTGAAAATTTTAATCAAATCAAGCTTAATGATTTATTAAGACCTTTATATGTCATTTCTTACAACTTAAGTAGTATTATTTTTTTCTTGACCATTGCTATTCAATTGTCTTATTTATGGAACAGATAGCAAATTCAGTTCTCAATAGATGATAAGTGCTTTTGGACAAAGGTAATTTGTTATGTTAGAAGATTAATATTCCATAAGACAGTAAATATGAGAGACAAAAGAATGTAGCAATGCTCTGATTTTTAAAGAATAAGTCAAACTTTTATTTAATGTAATGTAAATTTTTAATTAAAATTGGCATATTGTGTTTTCAAAGGAACCAGGAAATGTTTACTAAAAGATTGATACTCTAAAATTGGTGAAGGGTTATAATGACAAGAAATTGCAACAATTGTGCACACTGATGATATATACAGTGTTTAAGTGACACTTACATACATTTTTAACAAATGGCACAGAAAAGAATTCCTTTTGGATTCTCCTAATATTTTTATCAGAAATGCATTCCAAATGGTAGATGAATTAAAATTTTAATTCAAATAGCATAACTGGGAATTCAATGAAGTGCAAATATATCCCCAAACTCAATAATATAAGAAAAAGCAATTCTCTCCCCACCTCCCCACCAAGATACCAAGTCTCTGCAGAGGTGAAAAACGCCATACTGTACCTTGATTTCTTCTATTTCATCTGGTACTATCTTGTATGCTGATATAGTCCCACCCAACCTGAAATTAGGAGAAGAAAATATTCTCAAAACCAGCAATAGAGCAAAAGATATGGAAGATTTCTGCCATTAGCATCAGAGTGCCACTGATAATTTCCCAATATCCATCCCAATAACCATAGAGGAAAAACAACAACTTTGTGCTTAAAGTTTCAATTTATTAGTTTAAAAGAGGAAGATAATAAATGACTACTGAAAGAGAAAACACTAAGTTAGATTTTTATCTATAACTACATGTCTTTTACTGATAATTTTAATAATGGTAAAACTGTCACTTTTACTAACAGATTTTGTTATAACTAACATGCTTGAGGAACCAATAACAGATATGATACTTGCTTTTTTATAACCAATTTTATTTTTAGAGTAGTTTTAGGTTTATAGAGAAATTGAGTGAATATTTTCCCTACCTTTCTGCCCCACCCTAGTTTCCTGTGTTATTAACATCTTTCATTAATGTGATACATTGGCTACAGTGGGTGAACCAATATTGATTTTTAGTTTCTTTTTAAAAATAATATAAACCAAGAGTCAGAGAGATGTGTGTCCAGCACTGTCCAACAGGAAGATATGAGAATTTGGGGGTTATAAATAATTTAATATCTAAAATGTGTTGTTTGCCTTGAAACAGTGATGCCATTGCACATATTTACCTGTTTAAGATGTTTTTAAGAAAGTGACTAAGGATATATAACACCATGTGCCAGGCATATTATATATATTATCTAACGTAATTCTTGCAACCATCTCATTATAAAATAGAGAAATCGAAACACAGAGATTCAGTTGTTTTTCTTAAGCAACTGAAGGAACTAGTAAGTAAAGGAGCGGAGATGTACATAAGTGTAAAATACATACCAAATTTTGAATACTTAGTAAGAAAAAATAATTTTAAAATATTGATTACATGTTAAAATAACATTCTGGATATAATGGGTTAAATACAATAGATTATTAAAGTTAATTTCGCTGGGCTCGGTGGCTCAGCCTGTAATCCTGCGCTTTGGGAGGCTGAGGTGAGTGGATTGCCTGAGTCCGCCGGTTCGAGAACTGCCTGGGCAGCGAGACCTCATCTCTACAACAAATCAAAAAATCAGCCGGGCGTAGTAGCGCATGCCTGTAGTTCCGGCTACTCGGAAGGCTGAGGCGGAAGGATCGCTGGAGCCCAGCAGGTCGAGGCTGCGGTGGCCGGGAGCGGCCACTGCCCTCCAGTCTGGGCGACTGAGTGAGACTCCAACTCAAAAAAAAAAAAAAAATTGATTACATGTTAAAATAACATTCTGGATATAATGGGTTAAATACAATAGATTATTAAAGTTAATTTCGCTGGGCTTGGTAGCTCAGCCTGTAATCCTGCGCTTTGGGAGGCTGAGGCTCAAAAAAAAAAAAAAGAAAAAAGAAAAGAAAACAACTGAGTTATATGCATGATAATCTTTAAAAACTGTTCAACTCACCATTTTTTCCTATTACCCAACTACAACTCTCTCTCTCTCTCTCTCTGCAGCTCTCTCCCCGCCTCTCTCCCACTTCCTCTGTCGCTCTCTCTCCACAGACCCTTTCCCTTTTTCCTTGTAACCGCCGCTTTAATAAATCTCTTGGCCTTAAACGGGTGAGGAGTCGTTACTGGCGCCGAACTTCTTTCACTTACCAAATATTAGTTTCAAAATTTGAACGAATTTCTGAAAATAACATCTCTATTTTCAAGACATCATTAAATATGGTCAGATTTCAAACACCTTTAAGTTCAACATGCTATCAGCATCTCATAGTTACTGCACTCAGGCCTAGAAACTAAAAAATTAACTCTAAATTTCATGTATTTTGGTTACACTACACTGTCCTAATTATTGAGAGAAGAATTCATTCTGGAGGTAAAGTTCTGTTTTTATTCTAGTTAATATATAAAAGTGATACAACTTTTTTCAGTTATAGTGGTAGTAATAATAACAATAGCACTACAATTAGCATATTTAGCATTTACTATGGCATTGTGTCAGGGTTCACATGAATTTTTCTATTATATTTGTATTTCATTCTTATAAACTATAATAATGATTATGAAAAAAGTGAAACAAGTAATTTTTCAAAAGTCCCACAATTGGGAGTAGCAGGGCTGGGACTAAGAAACCAGTTATAAAAATTGACGAGAGGTTTTTAAAATTCATATGGAAATTCAAGAGACATAGGATAGTTGATCTTTCTTTTTTTTTTTTTTTTCCCTGAGTTGGAGTCTCACTCTGTCACCCAGGCTGGGGTGCAGTGGCATACTTGTGGCCACCACAGCCTTGACCTGATGGGCTCAGGTGAACTTCCACCTCAGCCTTCCAAGTAGCTGGAACCACAGGCATGTGTCACCATGATCGGCTGATTTTTTTATTTATTGTAGAGATGAGGTCTCGCCATGTTGCTCAGGCTGGTCTTGAACCCCTGAGCTGAGGTAATCCTCTTGCCTCCGCCTCCCAAAGTACTAGGATTACAGGCATGAGCCACCACAACCAGCTAAAATAGTCAATCTTGAAAAGAACAGAGTTGGAAAGTTCTCATTCCTGATTTCAAGTTACTACAAAGTCATAGAAAGCAAAACAGTATAGTACTGGCATAAGGAAAGACACATAAAACAGTAAAATACAATAAAGTCCAGAAATAAACTTCAAATTTAGATAATTGATTTTGGCTTTCTTTTTTATTATTGCAAAATGTATCTAACAAACTTACATTTTAACTATCTTAAAGTGTGCGATTCAGTGGCATTAATTACATTCACGATACTGTGCATCATTACTTTTTCCAAAACATTTACATCACCCAAAACAGGAACTATAATCATTAAACAATAACTTCCTATTTACTCCTCATCCTAGTTCCTGGTAACCCCTAATCTACCTTGTCTCTATGAATTTGCCTATTCTATACATATCATATAAGTTGAATCATTCAATATTTATCCTACTGTATCTTGTTTATTATACTAAGCATACTGTTTTCAGAGTTTTTTCATGTTGTAGTATTTAGCAGAATTTATTCCTTTTTTTGGCTGAATATTTCATTGCATGCACATATCACATTTTATTGATTCAATCATCTGTTGATGGACACTTGGATTGTTTTGGCTATTGTAAATATGCAGAAATGAACAGTGGCATACACGTTTTTGAGTCCTTCTTTTTAATCATTTTAGATACATCTAGGAGGTGGAATTGCTTGGTCATTCTTTGTTTAGCTTTTTTGAGGACCCACCAAACTGTTTTCCACAATGGTACCATTGTATATTCCCACCAGCAATATATGAGAGTCCAGTTTCTCCAAATATTCACTAACACTTGTTATTTTTATTATTTCTAAAGGCCATCCTGGTTGGTGTAAAGTAGTATCTCATAATGTTGCAGATTTGCATTTCCCTAATGATTAGTGATGCTGAGGATCTTTTCACGTTTTATTAAGCACTTGTATATCTTTGAAGAAATAGCTATTCAAATTCCATACCTATTTTGAATTTGGTTGTTTTTGTTGCTGATGTCATAGAGTTGGAAGAGTGCTCTGGATTTTAAGCCCTGAGCAGATATGTGATTTTTAAATATTTTTCCTACTCTATAGGTTATCTTTTCAATTTTTGATAAGTTTTATGCACATAATTTTGAATTTTTACAAAGCCAAGTTTATCCATTTTTTCTTTTGTTTCTCATGTTATCTGTACCATATATAAAAATACACCACCAAATCCAAGGCGAAGAAGATGTATCTCTGCTTCTTATAAGTGTTTTATGGTTGTAGCTCTCCTATTTAGGTCACTGATCCATTTGGAGCTAATTTTTCTATATGGCGTGAGGTATAGGTTCAACTTATTTATTTCACATGTGAAAATCCAGGTTGTCCCAAGACCATTTGTTAAGGAGAAGATTCTTTCTTTAAACTATTGATACAGCTTTGACTTGGCACTTCTGTCAAAAGTCAACTGACAATAGATGCACTGGCCATAGAGTTCATTTCTTTTTTAAAAATTTATTTATTTATTATAAAGATGTGGGGTACAATTCAGGGTTAGGTATATAAACATTGATCATACAGGTACCCTTGTTGATGAGGTATGCCCCTCCCTCCCCTAGCAGTTTCCCTCAACTGCCAGTCCCACCCCCGCTCCCCTGACAGTTTTCCATTACTGTCAATCGCTTTCTTATAGCATTATAGTTGTTCAAAGTCACCTTATGAGTGAGAACATATGGAACTCAGTTCTTTGTTTCTGTGATAAATCACTGAGTATGATTGACTCCAAATCCATCCAAGTTCGTTCCCATACCTTCTATTCTATTCCATTAATCTATATAGGTCTATCTTTATGTCACTATCACACTGTTTTGATAACTGTTAGCTTTATAATAAGTTTTTACGTTGGAAATTGTGAGTCCCTCAATACTGTTATTTTTCAAGATTATCTTGACTATTTGGAACCCCTTGCAATTTCACAAATATTTCAGGTTTGGCTTTTCCATTTCTACAAAAAAAAAGGCTGCATTAATTTGATAGAGATTATACCAAATCTGTAGATCCATTTGAGTAGTACTTTAACAAAGCTGTATGTCAAAAAAATTAGATAATCTAGATGAATCTGCCGAGTTTGACATTTTAACAATATTAAGTCTTTTACTCCATGACCATGGGATGGCTTTGAACTTATTTTGGTCTTCTTTAATTTCTTTCAGCAATGTTCTGCAATTTTCAGTGTATGCGTCTTTCATAGCTTTGGTTAAATTTATTTCTAGAGATTTTTCAGATGTTGTTTTAAATGAAGTTGTTTTTATTTCCATTTTGGGTTATTTATTGTCAATATATAGAATCACAAATATTTCTGTGTGTGTTGACATTCCTGAACTTTTAAAAAATTTCTCACATATAGATATGTTATCTGTAAATAGGGATATTTTTGCTTCTTCCTTTTCAATTTAGATGTATTTTTTTTCTTGCCTACCTACTCTGGATAAAATTTCCATTATAATATTGACCAGC